GTTGGAATTCCTGGCCCAGCGGGTACACTTCCCCTCACCCCTGTCCTTAGCGGGGTTGGAGCTCCGGGCCTTCCACCTTTGGGTGATGCCCCTACATGGCTCAGAACCGCGGGAAAGCCAGGCCCAGGCTTTTCCTTCCTCGATCACCAGGTCATAGGGAAGATCCCGTGAAGCCAGAGGCGACACAACAGGGCTTGGGCACAACAGCCTTTCCAGCCACTTCTTGACGTGACCTACTTGTGCCCTCGGAACCTGCTCTGAGCCCGTATTGTACGCACCCCTTCTGTGGTGGTGGAATACAACTATGCATGCCCAACTTCATGGCGTAAAAGCGTGTAAGCCCAGCTGCACGGTCTGGTCTGGTCTGGTCTGATCTCCTTGGTGGGTCAGTTGACACCCATTCCTGATGGACAATTCAGGTCTCATGGTAACTTGGTGGCCCATGGTCACGCGTTCTGTCTCCACTGAGGCCCAGAAGCAAGCCAGGATCTGTTTCTCCAAAGGAGAGTTATATCCTCAGAGGATGGTGGGGCTTTGCTCCAATCCTAAGGGTGCTGGGCTGTGATCTACCTACAGGAGCTACTGATGGCTCCAAAGAGCGTCCTCATCTGCCACAGACCCCTCAAGCTCCCTGGATCTGCTAGTTATACGTATAAGGCCCTTGGGGTACCTCAGCTGGCACAGCAGCCTGGACCTGCTGCAGAGGCTTCTCTCGCTCTGAGCCACACTCAACACAGACAGCTTTCCAGGTCACTCGATTAACGGGTCTCATGTCTGCGCGGCCTCCAGAACCCGAAGAGGTCCACGGGGCATCACGCGTCCTCTTAAGCAGTAGGAAGGGTCGGATGTGGATCTCGACATGCCCCAGACCACAGGACCCCTAGAGTGTCACCAAGGTAGCAGGTGCCCAGTTCTGTGGGATTGGTTTCCCATCTCCGCCACAGCCTGTGGTAACACGGTGTCTGAATGATCGCCACTTCCTGCTCACCGGGCCCAACCAGCACGACATCGTCAAGGCACTGGACCAGCATGATGTCCTGTGGACGGGAAAGCTGGTCGAGAACACCAGAGCTCACACGGTTGACCAGACATAAGACAACTGGGAAGAGAAACCTCCCCACTCGCCCAGGGCTCAGGAGACGCTGCCCAGGGCGGACATGTCTGGGCGGCTGGGGCAATGTCAGAACCAGGGCGAAGGGCAGAGAGGAAGCCAGAGGCTGAATTCAGGGTCTCCTCCCGGCCCTGAGCCCCACCTGAGGAGGGTGACCCAGCCGGCAGAGCCCCACACGAAGGGCTGCGGTGTGGTGATGCGCCACTGGCAGCCCAGGCGCTCCTCCCTGGCTGGGAGGGGCCGTGTCACCGCCCCGTGAGGCCTGCAGGGTCTCCTCTGATGGAAGAGAAGGCGGGACCTGTCCCTGGCCTCCCTCTGGGCGGCTGTTAGGAAGCAGGGTGGAGGCTGCCACCTCCTAGCCCACGGGAAGCAGCCTCCCTGTAGGAGGGGCCCCGCCTCGGCGCCAACACCCCCTCCCGGATCTCCAGAGGTCACTGCCCAGGTAAACTGAGGTGGCTGGCAGAGAGCAGGCTGCAGCAAGGGAGCAAGTGAAGAGTGAATGAAGGGTGGATGTGGGGGCAGGAGCAGGTGGGCAGGTGAGCAGGGGGCAGGTGGGCAGGAGAGCAGGGGTACAGGTGGGTAGGTGGGCAGGAGAGCAGGGGGCAGGTGGTCAGGTGAGCAGGGGGACAGGAGGGCAGGTGGTAGGTCGGCAGGGGGGCAAGTGAGCAGGGGGACATGTGGGTAGGTGAGCAGGTGGTAGGTGAGCAGGTGGGTAGATGAGCAGAGGGACAGGTTGGCAGGAGAGCAGGGGGCAGGTGGGCAGGTGGACAGGTGAGCAGGGTGCCAGGTGACATCACTGAGTAAGTGAACATCTTGGAGACAAGCAGTTAATGGAGTGGAGCTCGGGCCAGCCTGGGGCCAAGAGTTGACGACCCAGTGAGTGGACGGGCAGAGGCGACACCATACTGCATGCGCCCCTCTGTGCCGTGACACTGGGGTGGCAGCCAAAACCATGTTTTTAAATAAAACTCATCTGAGAACAGTTTGGGATTTACAGAAGAGAGCTGCAAAGATAGTACAGCGAGTTCGCCTATACTACCCCACCCGCAGTGTCCCCTAATAACAGCGTCTGACATGAGTGTGGGACATTTGTCACAGTGATTCAGTTCATATGGATCCATTATTATTGACTGAAGCTCATACTTTATTCCGGTTTCTTTAGTCTGTACCTGCTTCGCTTTTTCTCTTCTGGGACCCCATCCAGGATCGCACACACATCTGGTCATCACATCTCCTTCGGCTCCTCTGGGCTGTGGCAGTTTTGATCACCTTGACAGTGTGAAGGAGGACTTCCGGGTGTGTAGCAGGACGGCCCTCTGTTGGGGTTTGTCTGGTGTTTGTGTCATGATTGGACTAGGGCTGTGGGTTTGGGCAGCAAGACCACAGCGGTGAAGGGCCCACCCATCCCATCCCATCAGGGCACACGCCCTCAACACGGCTTACCTCTGCGATGCTGTCTGCGCTCACCTGGCTGAGGTGTGCTTGTCAGAACCGGAAGGGGGACCAGGAGGAGGCTGCTACATGCAGCCACACCTGACGGCTGGGAGTGAGGATCCCATCCCTGGCAGGAGAGGATCCACACACATTATTTGGAATTCTTCTGCACGGACGATTTCTCTTCTGCCCCAGTGGTTCATTCAGTCCTTTATTTGAACCAGCATGGATTCATGGATATTTGCTTAATATCGTGGGTTGTCATCCAATACGTTATTTATTCTGTTGCTCAAACCATCCCAGCTTTGGCCACTGGGAGCTCTGTCAGTTGGTTTCCCTGACAAAACAGTTTTCTATTGACCAAGTAATTATTAAATGAGGGCGGAGAAGCGGGAGAAAAAGGAGGTCACTGGCCAGCAACCAACACTACACAAACACACGTGGGTGCACACAAATGCACAGGCACACACGTGCACACACGTCTTCCGTGGACACAGAGCCTAGGCGGCTCACAGCGGGCCCTGGCCCTCAGCACAGGGTCCGTGCGAGGTGGGGGTCTGTGCCCTGGCCCAGCTCCTCCGGACAGAAGCTGCTGCTTCAGGCCCCCTTTGGACAGCTCTGCCCTCACGAGGGGGTGGCCACCGCAGGTGCCAGAGGGGATGGGCGAGTGGCTGAGGGTCACGCAGCTGGGCAGGGCCAGCGGCTTCCCCTCCAGATGCCACTTCCTCTTGCAGACAGGCTGTCGAAGTGGGAAGGTGAGGTTCAGCCACGGAAAGGGGTTCCCTGGGGCAAGTGTGTATGGCGCCCGACATAGGCCAGGCTCCCTGCCAAGCTGGGGGGCACAGTGCAAGGGGGCCACGGTCGGGGGCCGCGGTCAGAAGCCTGGTCTTTAGGGGGTCTGACCCGGGTTCAGTCCCCACCAGGCCAGTCACCAAGGAAGCCTCATTTCCTGCCCACAGAGGGGTCTGGTGCCGCTTTGGGAAAACACAGCGAGGTCATTTGTGCCAGGTGCCTGGCACAGGGTAGGTGCTCCACAGGGCTAGGTCAAGAAGCCAGGCCCGGCCCTGCTCCGAAAGATTTGCCCCAAAGTCAGAGAAAGACAGTGCCAGAAGTGAGGCAGGCACAGTGACCTGTGGCTCATCTCTGCTGGAGGGAGGGTCCAGGTGGCCAGCTCCCCAGCCCATGGCCCTGCTGCCCCTGGATCCCGGACTTTCACTCTCGCTGCACCCCCTTGGGCCACACCCGGGCTCCACCGGAGCGACCCACAGGTGGTGACATCGGGGACCCCTCCTGCCCCTGCAGACCCAGAGCAGGGATTCCTGGGGGCCAGGGGTCACATGGGGGGCACTGGGATAGATGAGGGGTCCTGGCTGGCCCCTGCTGGCTGGCCCCTGCTCTGGGCAAGGAGGTGGCGGAGCTGACAGCCAGCCCAGAGCCCCATTCTGCTGGTTTCTAGAAGGCCAACCATCACCACGCCCATGGCTATCTGGGGCACTCATCCTCCACGGCTGAGGTCCCCCAGTGTCCAGAGGACCCACATTACGAGACACTGAAGGGGGGCCACTCCAGCATGAGAGGTGAGCCGTGCACAGGTGGCCAGCCCTGGAGGACCACAGCAGGGGTCCTAGTGGTTCCAGCTGGCCCAGGTGGGACCCAGAGAGCACCTTCACTGCGTGTCCCCTCCAGGCCCACGTTGGGCCCAGTGGCCCAGTTAGCACAGCCCCACGTTCATTTGGGTTTGCAGCCGTGCCCCATCCCCGGGTTCACGTGGTTTAGTTTGATTACAGATTCGGGTTTTGACAAAGCCTCGGTGTGGGTACCGGTGAGGGCCCAGCACCCCCCAAACCCCCGCACCCTCCAGATGGCTCGGCCCTAAATTACTCATTTGTGCCGCTGAGGCATCAAAAATCAAGTTGCTTTTTCAAAACTTTTGATGTCACAGAGCATTTCAAAAGATGTTTCATAAGACAATGCTTCAATAAGGACATCCGGATCGGACCTTCTCTCCCCAAGTCCTCCAAGGACGATGGCCCCAGGCAGGACTTAACGGGAGGTCCAGCCTCTGCTCGCACACTCCAGAGACAGGAAGCTCTGTCACCCCCGCGCATGTGCCCTCTCCCACTTGCCCACCTCCACCCAAGGTCCTCTGCAGCCACGCCAGGAGCGCCTTTGGGAGAGGCCTCTTTCATCTGCAAGCATCCTAGGGTCTTGGGCCAGGGGTGGGGGCAGCAGGGGGGCAGAAGCTGCCCTCGCCACCCCTCGCCTTCCTGCCTGCCCTTCCTCTGGGGTCCCCAGAGGCTCAGTTCCTGGTGTGCTGGCAATCAGACAGATGGGCGACCAACGTAACCCAGCTCCTGGGCGGGCAGCTGTGGTCTGAGGCCCCCGCCCAGCTGGAAACCACAGTGGGAGGGGAGGGGAAGGAAGAGAAGGGCAGGGGAGAGCAGAGGAGACCTCCATGGGGCCTTGGAGTCGAGTCAGGGTGGCCAAATGCCAGATGCTGGTCACCAGTCTCTTTGTCTTGGTAACAGGCAGGCTGGGCAGGGGCGGGAGGCGGCGGTGGGGGTGCTGAGCCATGCTCCCGGACCTCTGGGACTGCGGTCCCCACCCCGACCACACCAGCCCTGCCGCCCCGGTGGACATGCACCTGGGGCTCTGGTGGCAGACTCCCGGCAGCAGAAGGATGCCGCACGAGCAGTGCCTGTCCTACTGCCGGGAGGCACGGGCCCTAGAGAAGGCCTGAGGGCCTTGGGGGGCTGGTGAACCGGGCTCGGAGGGGCTTTCCCTGGGGGAGCGGTGGGGGGGGCTGGCCTCCCGCTCTGGAAGGTGCTCTCATGGCTGGTGGGGGGAGAGAGGCGGGCTGAGAAGGGCTGGGTGGGTCCGTTCCCTGCTCCGCAAATGGAATGATGCAAGGTTCCAGGCCCTTGGAAAAGATGGGCAGTGGGTGCGCATGTTGCAGGGGAGGCGGGATGTGAGTGTGAGTGTGTGTGCCGGGGTGTCTTGTGTGAGTGTGAGTGCGTCTGTGTGCCTGTGGGGGGGGGGCTGTCTGTGTTGGGGAGTGTCTGGGCCAAAGGTCTCCCTGAGACCACCCCCAGAAACACCCAGAGGCCCCACAGTCGATCCTGTCTCCTGTGAGACCTGGAAGCTGGAGGGAGGCTGGCAGGGGGACGGGTCAGTGCCCAGCCCTGCCCCACATGCTGGGTCTACCCCACCCCCAGCTACTGGGCCTCGCTATGGCCACCACAGCAGTGCTCACCTACTTCGGGCCTCACTTTGCTGTCATCGGCCACGCATCCTCAGAGAGGACCCCCTATGAAGCTTTGCACCTCTGGGGTAAGTGAGGCTCTGGGCGGGGCAGCCACTATTGGGGAGGGGGCTTCAGGAGCAAAGGTGGCTGGGGAGGAGCCCCAGGCTAGCGTGAGGTCTCCCGAGTGGAGCCGGGCTGGGGCAGGCAGTGGGGTCAGAGGTAGAAAGGGCCACCCGGAAGTCCCAGCTCCACTGGGCAGAGCCTGGGGTCTGCCCAGGTCTCCCGCCCTGGGACCCCGGGGACAGTGTGGGCATGTCGGGTGGCGTCCGGACCCTGTCCTCTGTGTCCAGGAAGCGGTGCTCACCCATGATGAGGCCTTGAGCATCAGAGATGGCATCCTGTGCCCCCTACCCTGCCCCTGGGGGGCTTGGCCTCCGGAGAGAGCACACTGGAGGCCAAGGAGAGAGGCTGTGGGGGAAGCCGAGGCTCAGGGGGTTGGGGCTGGTGGTCCCCACCCCAGGCCTCCTGGTGGCCGCAGGCCCCATGTTTTTACCCTGAGCCCTGAACCCCAGACTCCCTAGAGCAGGAAGCCTGGGGCCAAGCCTGGACTGATAAGATTACAGCCACCTGCCAGTAGGGCCTGGGGGCAGGGATGTGGGCTCTAAGATAGCCCTGGGGTTGGGGGAACAGGGGCGACAGGAAGCTAGGAGGGAGGGCGGGGCCGGCATGGAGGCGGATGGGTGGTGGGAGGTACACCCCTGCCTGACCAGACAAGGCCCATTCAGAGCTTCGCAAAGTCCAGCACCCCAAGTTGACTCTCAGGTTGGATTTCAGACCTTGGCTCTGTGCACATGGGACCCCTGCCCTGGGCACGCTGACACCCATCTCTCTCCACGCTCAGCCTTCTCCACAGGAATCACCCTGGCCGCGCTCCTGACCCTGGGGGCTGTGCTGAGTGCCGCAGCCACTGTGAGAGAGGCCAGGGGCCTCATGGCTGGGGTGAGTTCTCTGTGTCCCCAGCTCCCCCAGACGGGATCTGGCAGGGCTGTGAGCCCACGGAGCCTGCCTCTTCCCTGTGTCCCAACAGAAACTGAGGCTCCAGGGGTGTGGGCCAGCCAGGACCCCTCCACCTGGGACCACCAAGGCCCTTCCACCCGGGACAGCCAGAACCCCCTCCACCAGGTGCCTATCTCACCCCCATCATCCATGGGGGCCTTGAAAGGCAGAGCTGACCCCCCCAGGCCTAGGCACTGTTTCAAAGGCCCAGGGAGGGCCTGGTTCTGTGACACTGGAGTCGCTGCGTACGTGGTTTGGGTGAATTCCATCCCCTTACCAGGAGGCCAGGCCCAATCCATCACCTGTAGGCCGGGACTGGTCAGTGGCCCCGAGGCGGCCTGCAGTCGGGCTCCTCCTGAGCAGCACACCCTCCCCTGCAGCCACCAGCAGTGGGGTCTCCCCACCCCTCGAGGTCCCACAAGCCTCTGACCTCACCCCACAGCAGTGGCCCTGTGTTGCCCCCATACCTGTTCCTCCATGTGGCCCTATCTCGGTCCCCACCAGCCTGTCCTGTTGCTCCACCTGCCAGCCCCGTCTCCCCAGGGACCACGGGCCTGCCCACTCTGGGCTCAAGCCCCTCCTCTCACCTGAACTGGGGCCTCAGCTCCTGGCTGGTGCCCTGTGCTGTCACCTGGTGCACACCACCCCCCAGAGCCTTCTCAGGCTCCCCAAGGCGCGTGAGACCAAGTCCAGCCTCCCTGTGCCTCCACGGGTCCCTCTGGCCTCCCGCTTTCCTGCCCCCAGCCCTCTGCTCTGGCAAACCCACCCCTCCCCTGGGAGTGGTTTGTGGGGCTGACAACCCCTGAGACCTCAGGCCGGGGCTGTGTTTCCCCGGGTTGGCCTCTGAGGCCGGCAACCCTGGGCTCCCTGAGGGCAGCCTTCTGGGTCCCCAGGGCTGGCGGGTCTCTCGGCCCAGCCTGTGTCAGCAAATGTTGGTTGAAGGACTCCTGGGTTGTAAACATCACCAAGGGCAGGGACAGAGTCACCTCCTGGAGCCGGGCCCCGGCCCTGGGTGTGCTTGGGGAGTAGAGGGGCATCCGGCAGCTCGAGCCCTAACCAGGACCCCGCAGGAGCATGGGCAGGGCAGTGCTGCGTGGGCGCACTAAGACCCGGGCCTGTGCAGTCTGGCTGGGGTATGGGGGGAGAGAAGGAGGCCCCAGTGGCAGCTTACCAGGCAGGTGCACTGTCCTCCCAAAGGGGAGCCCTGAGGCGTGGGGCTTGCCAGAGGGCCTCAGGGCTGGAGGTCAAGGCTGCTGGCGGGGCCAGACCCAGGGGTCCTGGTGAGGGCGGCCCGGAGAGGCCAGCGCCGAGGCTGCAGCATCGGCCACCAGGGGGCGCCATGGTGCTGGGCTCAGAGCCGAGGCGGGAAGATGCCAAAGGCTCCTGTTCCCAAGGTTCCTGGCTCAACGGTTCTCGGCCCAGCCGGTCACCAGGGCCTTCCCCAGCTCCCGAGCGCCCCAGCTCTGCACCCTGATCTGGGGGCGGGGGCCAGGGAGCACCAGGGTCTCGGCTCCGCGTCCCTTCACCGTTACTTGGGTCGGGCCCCACGGCCGCCCGCCTGCTGCACCCCAACCTCCCGCCCTGGGCCCCCAGCCTGGACGGCAAGCCCAGCACGGCCCCGCGGGGTCTGGGAGACCTCACTCCCCTACTGCCCTGCTGAGCCACGGCCGTGTGTGTGCATCTCAGTGTGCGTGCCGCGTCTGGCATGTGTGAGCCCACGTGGAGGGCCAGGGGGCAGAGATCTTTCCCACCTGCCGCTCCCCAGCCGCTTCCTGCCCCCCCCCAGCCCCCTCCCGCACCAGCGTCACACACAGGAAATGAGAGGCTCGCAGGCTCGGAGTAGGGTTGGCAGCAGCGCCGAGGCAGCCATTTTGATTTATGTATGTGGTTTTGTTCAGAACAGGGAGAAAGAAACCGGTAGGGATGGGGCCCGGCCGCACCAGAGCCTCAGCCCCGCAGAGGGCCTGGGGGCCCCGGCGCGCTCATCGCCGCCCAGGACCCTCCATGCAGGCGGACTGGAGGCGGGAGGGAAGGGCGTGATGCTTGCTTTCCTGAGGAATGAGCCGGTTCCTGGAAAATGCTGGTCCCCTGAGCTGGCTCTGGGCCTCCAGCCTGCAAGGCAATGCTGAGCAATGGCTTCCAGATGGGGAAGGCGGCCCTCGGCCAGCCCGGGGGGGCAGGGGGGGCGGGGAGGAGGGAGACGGGGGAGGAGGCAGCATGTCCTGGCTGTCCTGAGACTGAGGCCTTGAAGACCCCTGGGCAGGCAGGAGGGAACATGGGGTGAAGGCCGGTGGGCCGCCCGCCCCTGAGAAGAGCCGGAGGTCCCTGTGCCTACACTGAGTCTGGGCGCTGGCGGGGTGGCCCCCACTCTTTCATGGAGCCTGGTGGGCCCCCACCCCTGTGTGGACTCTTTTTTCAAACCCCATCCAGCTCGGGCAGCGTGTGTGTCCATCTGCATCTGGGGTGTCCCTCCATTCCATTCCAGGTGCCACCCTGAGTGCGGCCCCTAGGTTGGGAGAGCCTGGCCGCAGCCTGCCCCCGGCCACGGACAGCCCGGGGTGACAGGTGGGGCGGTGACACCAGGCCTCCAGACCCCCGGGCCGTGTGGTCAGCAGGCGAATCGACTGTCCAGGGCTTTAGAAGGAGCCTCAGCCCGAGACCCGAATCAGAGGGTCACCAGCACAAAGTGGCAAATCAGACTATGGGTGGGGGGATGTCCCCAAGGCATCACGTGGGCCAGGGCTCCTAGTCTGGGATGACCCTCTGAAATGACCCACAAAAGAGCTTTGGGGGCATGTGTGCACTTTGCGGGGAGGGACCATAAAGTTCATCAGCTTCAGAACCCCCGTGAGAGACAGACGCCACCAAAGCCCTGGGGCCCAGGGGGTGGCAGGAGGTGGGGACGGGGTCAGCTGGGCCACGGGGACAGAGCAGGGTGGGACGAAGGGGGTGGGGCTTCTCCGCAGGAGTCACCCCGTCTCGGGGCATCCTCCTGGCCATGCTCTCTGCAGAATGCCAACTCTGAACCCCCCCGGGAGGCATGTTTCAGAAAACAAAAGCAAAGCAGCAGTCCCTCCTCCAAAGGCCCTCCCTGTTCAGGGGGCCCTGCAGCCCCTGAGCCACCCCTCCTGCCCAGACTTAAAATGGGTTCGTTTCTTCTCCGGGATCCAAATCTCAGGCTCGGGAAGGCCCTGCCTGGCCCTTCCAGGGCCAGTGCGCTTCCCGGCAGCAGCCGCAGAGGGCAGGCCTGCGTCCCTGGGGCAGGGGCTGTGGCACTGCCATCAACGCCCCTCACGGGAGCTAAAACCAGCAATAGGGGGTCTCCCGAGAAGGGCCAAAAGAAGGGATGGGGACCAGTGTGCCCGCCGCCCAAGGCCTCCCCCTTGGGCAGTGGGGAGTCGCTAGGCCACCACCACGGCGCCCGGACTCACGGTCCCTCCTCTGCCCCAGGCCTTCCTGTGCTTTGCCCTGGTGTTCTGCGCCCTGGTGCAGGTGGTCTTCTGGAGGTTCCACAACCCCACGCAGGTGAGCGCCCCGGCCCGCCCCCATCCCGCCGGCGAGGGTCCCTCAGGTATGAGAAAGTCCGTTCCGTGCTTCCTGTCACCTGCTGGTCACCGCTGTGGGGACGTTCTCTGCCTGGGGGTGAGGTGGGGATGCAGAGACCAGAGGGCTGGCCCTCTCCTGGGCTGGGGACAGCGGATCCCCAGAGAAGGAGGGGAAGCAGGTACAGGCCTCAGACACCCCCTTCTCACTAAAGATGGGACCTGGGGGGTTGGAAGGAGGCCCCCCAGCTGGCCTGAGGGATTGATTAGTGGGGGTTGGTTCCAGAAAATGCACTGGGGGCTGCTCTCCTGACGGGGATCGGGCCAGGCAGGGAGAGGCCTTGTCCAGGCGTGGGCGCTGCAGGACAGTGGAGGGGACGGCCAGGCCTCCTCCACAGGACGACAGCGGCCCTGCAGTCCAGGACTCGAGCTGCCTGGAGGTGGGACCGTTCACATGATCCTACTCATTCCATTTTCACTGTGGGCTTTTCCCAGGGACATGCATGTCAGTGGTGACCGTGGTAATGGTGGGTGTGGGTCCCCATAGCAGGGGGCTCCTTTGTTTCTTCCTTCCTTCATCTGTTCATCCGTCCCTCTGTCCTCTGGGTGCCACTGGTTCAGTGGGGCTCTGGGGTGGCTCAGGGCTGGGAGGCAAGGATGCCCCAGCTCTGGGATAACACGGTCACGCAGGGCCCCGGCCCCCAGAGAGCAGGGCTCGAAGACTGCAGGCCACGGGTCTAGGGTGGGCGCTGACCCCAGGGAGCAGGGCAGGACCACAGCTTGGGAAGGACTGCTCCCAAGGGACACAGGGGGCTGGGGCAGCCTGGCCCTGCAGAAATTCTGTCTGAACTCTGGGTCCTGAGACGGAGCTGAGAGCCTGCCTGGGAAATGGGGCTGGCCAAGTTCATGAGCAGAGCTGACCCCTCCCAGACCAGGGCTGGGGGTCAAGGCCAGACCCCCTCTGGCCAGGCAGAGAAAATGGGTGCCCAAGAGGCTCAGGGAGAGGGGCAGCGACCCCGGACGGGCTCACGTGTAGGGCCTGGGGACTAGTGGGGGCCAGGAGGGTCCACAGTTGGCTGAGGAGGGGACACCGGTGGCTCCAGTTGGCCCGTACCAGGCCAGGGCACAGAGCAAGCCCGGCCACTGCCCTCCAGCACCCTGTGCCCATGGCCCCCCGACAGGATCAGACTTCTTTCCCCAGCTGAGCTGCGAGCCTGCAGGGCAGCCTCCGGGGCGCCCTTCCCAAAGGGCCCTCTCCCCACCCCCCCACCACGTCTGCTTCTCAGCATCTGTCCCAGGCCTCAGGCCCCTGCTCCTCCCCGGATGAGAGGTGCCGGGGAGCAGCCTCCCCCCGTCCGCAGCGATGCACACGACCGAGGCAGCAGAACTCAGGCCCCAGCCTTCACTTGTGAGAGCCCAGCCCCAGGCAAGACCCCGAGGCAGCCCCGCAAGGAGCTGCGGGGCCAGCGGGTGGGGCCACAGAGAGGGACGGGAGAGTCCAGCCCCACAGGCCCCATCCGGCTGGACTCTCTGAGACCCTGATCAGTCCTTTCTCCTCTCACTGGGACTCAGTTTCCCCATGCACTCTGTAAGGATCAGGGAAACCAAAGCCAGTCCAGCTGGAGTATACCCGGTTTCTGGGCAAAACCCTGTGCAAGCAGGTGACCAGCAATGATTTTTTGCCTGTGTATCAGGAGCCCCAGCGGCCCCGACCCCCTTGTTGCCCAGGCCCCCCACCCCCCGGCAGATGTTCATGCAAGATGCAGCCAGGTAGGAGGCTGAGCTTGTGCTGTGTGCCTTTAGGTGTGTGATTACCCACTCTGGTCTTACCTGCAGTAATGGGCCTAGTTTCTGCTCCCTGCCCCAGTGCTCCTTGGAGTTGTTGAGGCCGTCACCAGACCTTCCAGGGTGGTGGCCATCCCCTTGGTCTGCAGATGGAGGGACTCAGGCCCACGGGGGTGGGGGGAGGGCAAGATCACCCCGGCAGAGGCAGGCAGGAGGGGTCCAGCATCCAGGGCTCTTCACCCTGACTCAATGCCTTTTTACCCTTCCCTGCCCAAGGGTCACCCCAAACTGTTCACCACCACCTTGGCATCACCTGGGGTCACCCAGATGGAATGCCAGATGGAAAAAGGGCATTTCCTCTGGCTCTGGAGGGCTCGGAGCCTGACAAGGCAGCCTCGGCTCTCGGTGACCAGGGAGCGCTGGGCTCGGCTGGTGTTTTGGCCTCACATTTCCCATCCACCGAGAAGCCCGGGCGAGGTCTGGGTCACTGTGTGGGTGGTCCCGGCCAAGACAGCTGCCAGGGTGCCCTGGGCAACCCCTGCAGCTCTCCTGGGGGGCGGCTGCAGCCCATCCTTTCTGCCCTGACACTGTGTGTTTACAGCTCTGAGCCCAGGATTTGCACTTCTGCAGGGGAGGGGCCATGCAGGGGCCACAGGCCATAATCTGGCTGGGGTCCCCGCTCCGGGAAGGGGAGGGTGCAAAAGCGGATGGCTCCCAGCTGGCCTCTTCCGTGTCCCAGCCCCTGCCGCCATCCCCGACGGAAATCTTCCTGTCTGGTCTGCGCTCCAGCTGGCTTTCAGGGTCCAGCTCTCGGGGTCCTGCCTGACCCCAGTCGGGGTTGGGGCTTCCTCCGTGTCCGGGCCCACGTGGGCCCACAGGAGGCCGGGGTGGGGCAGCTCTGGCTTCAAAGTCTGGGGTCAGCCTCTCACCCGGTGCCCTTGGGACCAGCTAGCCTTCCTGGGCCTCGGTTTCCTCATCTGTAAAAGGAGCATGAGAACCCCAATGAGGGGGCTGCTGAGTGGTGGGAATGAACCAGTGGGACCCACCTGCACCCCCTGAGCCCAGGTCTGTCCTCCATCACTGGGGCCAGTGCAGAGCTGGGCACTGGCCAGGGCACGGGACCCGAGCAGCAGGAGCAGGACAAGCCACCCGTCCTGTGCCCCCCAACCCAGGGAACCTGGGCAGGTGCCTTGGCATCAGGGCCAGCCTGGGCCAGACAGATCCCAGCCCCGCTCCTTCCTTCCACGAGATCCTCATGGAGGCCCAGGGAGCAGAGAAGCACAAAGGGCCAAGCTGTTTGCTCCAGGGGATCTGTTCACCCCCATTTCTCCCCCTGCACCTCCCCTGAGTGACCCCCTAAGATATCCTGAAACACGGGGTCAAGATGGGCCATCTAGGGCAACCCTACAAATGGGAAACCTGGGGACAAGGAGAGGACAGGGACCGGCCACGACTCCTGGTGGCCCAGAAGGCAGGCCGCAGACCCTGGAGGGGGGGCACTCACTCCCCCGCACCCTGGGGCGGTCACTCCCTCAGAGCCCTGGTAGGCGCCCTGAAGCTGGGAGGGCCAGCAATGCAGGGACTGGGTGGCTGTGCTATGAATACAGAGCATGAGAGCTATTAATTATGTTCCTGCGGGAGCCTGAGAGCCACTCTGCCACAGTGCCGTCCCCAGACGGGCTGCGGGGCAATGAATTGCCTGGCTCCACTTAATAATTCATGCACGGATTAAGTAGAGCACTGCCGGGAGCCCCAGAGAAAGGCTGTCTGTCTTCTAGCTCCCAGGTCTGGGCCCCTCCCCTCGAGGCCACTCCCCTCCCCCATAGTCCAGCGGCCGCCAGAACCAGCCCTGGGGCACAAGGCCCTGGTCTGCAGACCACCTGCAGCTCCCACGGGCCACCCCCTCTGCAGCTATTCTCCCCCGCCCCCCCCGCCCCCCCCACCGCAGGTTTAGCAGACAATGGGGAGGCAGAGGTCAATGGCAGGGTGGGGAGCCAGACTGGCACCCCAGGCACCTGGTTTGTATTCAGCGCCCCAGGCACTCCCGTCCTGAGGGGTGCCCCCTGGAGCCCTGGAAGATGGGGCTTAAAGATCGGGGCACCCTGGCAGGGAGCACCCAGGTATCAGGGCCCAAGGGCCTCTGAGACCTCCCAGCCCACCCCCAGTTTTCTCATGGAGAAACACAGCCCCTGAACCTGGTGATGGGGGGCAGACGGTAGAGCACCACCCAGGCACCCAGGCCTCAGGAGAGTCAGCCTGGCCCCCTGATGCCAGGCCCAGGGGTCTTGGGCAGGGGCGTGGCTTTGCCAGATCTGCTTCTCCATCTGAAGGAGAAACTCGCGCCCCACTTCTGGGGTCACGGGGAGAGACGTGCAGCTCAACCACCAGCGGCTTTGTTCTTCCCACTCATGTTTCAGTAACAACACCTCCAGAGGGGCCGGGGTCTCCCTGGGCCCTAGTGGGCCTTGGGAGTGGGGATGGAACCCCAAGGGTGGGCTGAGCTGGCCTCCCTGCCCCGGCCTCCTGCACCACCGACCCCGGGCCAGCTCTGCTAGCCCCTCAGTCCTCACCAGGACCCCCTCCCACGAGAACGCAGTACAGCCTGGCAGGTCTCCACCCCCATGTCACTAGAGGAAACGAAGGCCAAGAGAGAGCCGCCAGCCAGGTCTCCCGCGGTGGTGGCCGGCCTGGCGCCTGGCCCCCAGCCCAGGACGCTGCCCACCTCCCACTGGGTGGGGAACAAAGCAGCTGGCTGACTCTGTGGGCAAGGTCTCAGCCGGGAGGGTTAATGAGCCCTGGGAGTGGTGGTCAGGGTGGAAATTGGTCTGGTTCCTACTGGACAGCACTGGGCGAGACCGCCCCCTGCCCACCTGCCCCCAAGTCCTCCAGGCTGGGAGTGGAGAAGCCGCCCTTCCTTTCTGGAGGGTGGGGGTGAGTGGCCAGAGCAGGGCACCCCTGAGCGCCTGTCAGCCTGTCCCCGCTGTCAGCACAGCATGGGGATGGGAAGGGAAGGGAGGCAGGGCATAGGGTCTCTGAGGTAGGAAAAGAGGCATCAGAGGGCAAGGGAGCTCAGAGGCCTTGCCCATGCTAGAGGCCAGCGACCCCAGTGCAGTCACAGAAGCCTTCCTGGAGGAGGCAAGATTCCAGTTTGTCTCTGATGAAATCACTTGGCAAGGGGAGGGCATTTCGGTCTGGGGGCAGCACGAGCAAAGGCACAGAAGGGGATGCTTAGCTGGGCAGAGGCAATGAGGTCTGGGTGAGGTGTGAAGGCAGAGCTGGCCAGGCCCCTGTTGCTACCCTGCTTCTCCTTTGTCTGCCCCCAAGGGGCCTCGTCTGCCCTGGGTGCCCTTGGCCAGCTCTGGGTAACTGCCTGGGCTTTTCAGAACCTACCGATGGTTCTAGGCAAAGACCTGGAGCATCCCTGGGGAGCTGAGCTCCTGGCACGAGGCCACTCCTGGCCGTCTTCCCCCAGGGCCCACCGGTGGCTTTCCCTCCCCACTGCCTGTTTCCAGATCAACAGAAGCAGGTGGACACTTCGGCCAGGGCGTCCTCCCACTGTAAGACAAGAGCTGGGGGGTGGGTGGCCAAGCTCGGGCCTCTGGTTTATCCTGCAGGACCCCCCAGGGGCAAGAGTGGCATTAACGGCCATTCTTGGGGGGAGGTCCCCACAACTGAAATATGGGGACCCCTGTGACCGGCCACCAGGGGACCCAGTCTCCGCTTCCAGGGAGCTCTGCCCCGTGGAAGGAGGAGGGGGCCAGCTGGACACCACCCAGCACCCGAGGGCCAGGCCCCGCCTTCGGGGGGCTCCGTCGGGGGAGGGGCTTCACAGGCACAGGGGCCTTCCCATGATGCTCTCGGGACAGGTGGAGGACGCCGTGTTGGACGCCTACGATCAGGTGTATGAGCAGGCGGTGAAGAGCTCGTCAGGAGTCTGGCGGCAGGAGCTGGTGGCCATCCAGGACATGGTGAGCGTGGTGGGGGGAGGCCCCCTCCCTGGGCAGCCCTGGACTGGTCAGCCTCCCCAGGTGGGCTGTGATTTAGAAAATGGGCAGAGGTAGCCCCCCAGAGCCAGCCGGCAGGGGGCCAGGTGCTGAGCAGAAGGTCCCAGGGCGCAGGTTGTCAGTGCCCCTTGGGGGGAGGGGGTGGAGACAGAGAGGTCCTGTCCTCCGTCTGCCCTACAAGGGCAGCTACTGCCAGGATTTGCGGGGCCCAGAGCAGAGTGCAAGACTCCTTGTCCAAAAGTGATGACGAATTTCAGGGTGGTGACGGCACAGCATTCGGTGGGGCCCCAGTGACTGCTGGCCAGGCTGCCCGGAACCCAGCACCCCCTGCAGAGTCAGCAGCCTCGCCCTGAGCCCCGGTCCTGGCCTCTGGGGGGGGAGGGGGTGCCCTTCGTGCCTCAGTTTCCCCATCTGTCTGACAGGGATCCTGGGGTTCTCAGAGCGAACTGCCTCCCTCTTCTGTCCCTGCAGTTTCAGTGCTGTGGTAAGAGCCCCCCCCTCGGCCTCCCGGAGGGCTCGGAGGCTGACCTGTGTCGGGGGCAGGAGGCCGCCAGACAGGTGAGGGGGAAGGGCCTGCAGAGACCCCGGGGGGCTCAGCCCCAGAGCAGGGCCACTCCCACGCCTTGACCCTGGGGGCTGTGCTGGGCTGGGGGGAGTTGACAGACGCGGGCCCGGGTCCTCTCCAGGCCCCAATCACTCCCTCACCCCTTCACACAGTTCCCAGCTTGGGGGCTCCGCATGGCCAGGCACAGTGTCAGGCACTGAGACCGCCCCCCATCGGTCTCCCATCGGCCCGCCCCCCATCGGCCCCTAGGAGGCGGGTGGGCAGCTCTGCCTGCGTTGGGCTGGGGGCAGGTGTTCGAGGGCCCCTGAAGGCCAGAAGGGCGATTGCCAGAGGGTCAGCCTAGGCCAGAGTCTGGCCACGAGGGCTTCAGTGATGAGAGACAGAGGCAGGGACGCTATTCTTCGGGATGACGGCGGCCCCCCTCCCCCCACCCCGCCTCCTCAGCTCCCCTCCCCCGCTGTCCGGGAAGCAAACACCCCTATCTCTGGCAAGAGGCTCCTGGCCACCCTCCAAGAAACGGACAGGAGGATGCGAATGGCTGGAGGCCCAGCCAGGGACAGAGCCAGCACAGCACCCTGGGCTCTCGCGCTGGGAGGGGCGAGGGCAGAAGAGGGCCCTGCATTCAGGGAAGGGGGCTCAGGAGGCCTGTTCACACCACCCAGGGAGAGGCCTCAGGTCGCCGTCTGCAAAGTGGGAGCAAAGTCTGGTTTCTTTTACCTTCTGGGGTGGTGGGGGCCACGGGGAGACTGTAAAGGCCATGTGGGTGGGGACACCTCGGGGAGGGGGCGAGAGGGCAGGGAGGTTGTCCTAGATGGTGGTCTGACCCCGGGCTGCCTTCCAAGAGGAAGTGGGACCACGCTGGGGGACCAGACCCGATCAAGGGAATTCATGGACAGATGGACGGACAGTCAGACACCAAGCCGGCCTCCTTTCCCCCCGGCATCCCAGCCATCACAGTCTAACCCTGCATGTCCCACAGCACATCCTTCCCCAGCGTGCCCCCAAATGCCAGGTCCATCCCCCAAACCAGATGCCACCATCAGAGTGATTCAGAGTTGAGACCGTCACCTCCCGTTTCCTTGGAGACAGAGAGCCTCTGCGGATGCCACGTCCTGGAGAGGCTGTGGAAATTCAGGATGGAGCCAGGACAGCCCGGGGACACCCATGCCCCACCCTGTTAGCCAGTGTCCTCTCCTCACCCAGGCTCTGTGTCCCACCCTGGATGGGGTTTGGGGGGGCCCAACACAGGCAGATCAGGGGACGCCCAGAGGAAAGCACCCACTGGACCCCTGGGGGCCCCATGGTCCCCACAGAGGTGGGCTCCACCCTGCTTGTTTTTGCCTGTTTTCAGTGCCAGTCCCCAGAGCTCGGGGTGGTTTTCCCTGGGATGTGCCGCACCCCGACTTTCCATCTCCCTAGCTTTTGTCCTAGATGGGCGCTGCAGCTCCATGCCTTGGTGGAGGCGCCTTGCCCTGGGCTGGGAGGGGCGGTCAGGGGGCCCATGCGTGCTGCCCTCCGCGCAGGACTGCCTGCAGGGGATCAGGGACTTCCTGAGGATGCACAGGAACATCGCCTCCACCCTGATCAGCCTCAGCCTCGCCTCCATGGTACCCTCTCACCCCCACCCCCGCCCCTTCCCCACCTGCCTGTGCCCCCCCCACCTCAGACGGAAGGGCAGGGCTGGGCAGCCCCAGGTCAGATCGCGGGTCTTGGGGACCAGCAAGGCTTGCCCTGCGCAGGGAGCCGGGAGGAGCAGGCCTGCGGGGTGACAGGGCCTCCCTGATTCCCTTCCCTAGACGGCTGGGAACCCTGCACAGCCCAGTGACCTCCTCGGGGGGCGATGAGCCCCCTCCCCTGGAGCTGCTGGTGCAGGTGCCTCCACCTCCCCCAGGTGTACGTGATGCCGCTCAGCGCCTTCCTCTGGTTTGCCATCCACTCGGGCAAATACACCCTGAGCCCACGGTAGGCCTGCCCGCCCCTCCCCACCTCCCCAAAGGGGTCCTACAGCCCTGCAGCTGGAGGTGGGCAGGCAGAGAGCACGCCCCGCCCCGACCCCACTCCCAAGATCTCTGCCTCTGCCCAGCGAGTGGGACCCCTGGACCACGGGCCAGACCAGTTCTCCAGAGGAGGTGCTTTGGGGGAGGCTGGGCCCACTGAGGGAGGGGCAGCATGCACTCCACCCTGCAGCCCCCATCCTGGCCGAGACCTGGCCTCACAGCTGCCAACTCCACCGACACTGAGAGACGGTGCTTCTGGGGCCCCCGGCCAGGACCTCCCATGAGCAGGGAGCAGGGAGGACCCGGTCCCAGCAGCCGAGCAGCGCCCCACCACCCCTCAGCGCTCACAGCGTCCCTGCCTGCCACCTCCTTCACTCCCTGACTCAGCCACTCTGCCCTGGCCACCTGGGCGCCCTCCCTGCCCAGGCATCCCGCCCGGCCCCTCTGCATCCTCCAACGGCCTCAACGGTCCTTCTGCCCCTCAGGGCCCGTGGCTGCCAGCCCCGGGAGCCCCGCTCCTACAGACGCTGCCCGGAGGGGCCCGCCCCTCATCACCCATCTGAAGCAGATGCTCTCAGGGGCCGTCGGGGTCCAAGCAGTCGCCCGGGTCACCCTCCGCTGCTCCAGGAGACCCACCCGCCTACACACAGGAGCAACAGAGATGCTCCAGCCTCGGCCCGCACGCGATCCTTCCCAGGAGGGGATGAGCTGTTTTCCTCCACATGGTGGTGGGATGGGGAGGGAGGGGACCCCACCAGACAAGCAGCCTCCATGTAAGCAGACGGGGGACCGGGGGTCATTTGCAGACTCTGGGAGTGGGCTGGGAGGTGAGTGAGGAGAGAGGAAGCAGAGGGCAGCTTGGCTGGGCTCTGCTTTGAGTCCCACAGGGTCAAACCCAGGGGTGGGCTGGGCTGGGCTTGGCTGCCCCTGCAGGCTCTGGGGAGGACCCACTCCAGGCTGGGTCAGGCTGTTGCCAGAGTTCGGTTCTGTGCGGCTGTGGGACTGAGGTCCCTTCCTTGCCCGCTGTCTGCGGGGCCGCTGTGCTCCCTGAGACCCCTACCCCTCCATCCTCAAGTCAGCACGGCAGGTGGGTTCCTGCTCCTGCTGGGAATTCCTCTGACTCTCCCCAAGGCTGGAGGACAGTCCACTTTCAAAGGCTCACGTGTGTAGATGAGGGCCACCCGGGTAAACTTCCTGCCGTACAGAGAAATCACATTTGTGGTGATACTGTGTTCACGGGTTCTGGGGAATGCATTTGAGAAATCCCGCCTGCCACGGCCTCTCCCCGTGGCCATCCAACTACCCGGCTGGTGAGTTCTCTCTAACGAACCGTCCCTGACGATTTGCATCCTTGGCTCGAAACCAAAGTCCTGGGTGGGACGCCAGACTGACCCAGCCTAGGCCGAGGCCCCAGCGTAACTGACAAAGGAGAAGGGACTGTGCGGCCCTTTTAACTTGCATAGAGGGAGCTCAGCCCTGCCCTCCCCCCGAAACCAACAAAGTCGGGTGCCTCCCCAGTAAGAAGCAGCCCTCTGTGATGGGCAACCAGAAAGGGGCAAAGTGACCAAAGCCTGCTGCAGTCCACCCCTTGTGTTTCCAATCACACACACACACACTCCCTCTCTCTCTCTCTCTTCCCACACTTACACCTCCAAAAACAAGACGGTGCTCAGCCAGGATAAAGCAAATAGCTCTCCTACAAGTGAAGGCGCACAGGCCTTGCCCCCAAGGAATGTGCCGGAAGTCCAACGGTTCTGCATTTGATAGCCGTCCAGGCATCCGGGGATGTGCGCGCCTCTCCCGGTCCCGTTCTTCTCATCAGACAAAATAAACTTTAAAGAAGCACCAGCTGAATTCCTGTGTACAGCAGTGGTGGAGAGAAAAGGGGATGCAGTTAAATTCTGTAGAAACGTACATGACACCGCAGGAGAAAGGGCTTTGCCAGAAGCTGTTAAATGGTGCTCCTTTCTGCAGTGGCCACGAGGCTGTGACCGACCTTCGGGCTTCCCTGCCCCACCACCCTGTCCACGTCCTCTCACGGGTCCGAGCGCTTCTCCTGCTGGGTGAGCCCACTCTTCGTCGGGGACGGAGCTGGGAAGGAAGGTCTCCATCCTGTGGTCACCTCTGCCACCGTCTCTCGTCATCAGACGCGCAGGATGAGAGACCTGGGGAACCCCTCAGCCCTCCACATTCAGTAGCAGCACCTTGTTTCCTCTTGATAGGATCACCCAGCCATCCCCGTGGCCCCCTTTGTGGCCTCTTAACCCAGTGGCAGAGGAGCCCTGAGTGGGCCAGGTGGAACCCCCCACCCAGCTTCCAACTCAAGGACACTATTGTTTTGTTCAAAGCATTCCTTTGCTTGTTACTAAAATGGCCAAACCAGGAGAGCAGGGACCAACAGGGCCGAGAGACAAGCGTTTGTGAGTGGCTCAGTCGTTCTAATCACAGGAAGGGTGCTGCCCCCACCCCTACCTCCCCCACACCATACATCCTGATTCAGGGGGAAAGGCGCTGCTGACTAGCGTGTCCTGCAGGACACAGCGTCAGTGTCCCCGCACTGTCCCCTGGCTGTGGTCCTAAATGATGCCCAAGATTAGGCCACCATCCCTCAGGATCGCCTCCTTTGAGGAGCAGGGTACATGGTGGCCCTCGGGAAGCCCATGGGCACCTCCCATTGCCTTGTTTCTTTGACTGTAAAGTCAGGTCCTTGGCCAGAAACAATGACACGTGAGGAACAGGGACAGCAAATAAGGCTTTAAGTAAGTAAATAAGGAAGGTGCCGGTACATGCAGGGGAGAAAAGCCAAATCCAGAACGAGGCCCAAGCCCAGTGGGAACAGTCGCTACCTTCCCCCACAAGGGAGGGGCCCATGATGTCTACGGTTGTGTCAATGTGACTGGCCCCGGGTGCCCGGGTGGGACACTACTTCTGGGGGAGCCTGGGAGGGGGTTGTTTCCAGGTGAGATCAGCATTGAATCGCGGATGCAGGAGAGCAGGTGGGAGGGCACCATCTGGTCCCCGAGGCCTGAACAGAACACAAGGCAGGGGAGGGAGAACGTGTCCTTTTCTGGCCCCACCCCTTGAGCTGGGACAGCTCCTGTCACCTCCTCCTGCCCTTAGACTGGGGTTTACACCATCCACTCCCCTGGCTCTCAGGCCTCCAGACTCAGACTGGACGACATCACCAAACTGGCCTTCCTGGGCCACCAGTGTGCAGACAGCACGTCATTCCCAGCCCACCTGAGCCAATTCCTCATAATCATATTTTTTATAGAGAGGTAGGTAGGTAAATAGATGGATGATAGGTGGATGGGTGGATGGATGGGTGGGTGGATGGGTGGGTGGATGGATGGATGGGTGGATGGATGGATGGAGGATGGATGGGTGGATGGATGGATGGGTGGGTGGATGGATGGGTGGGTGGATGGATGGGTGGATGGATGGATGGGTGGGGATGGATGGATGGACAGATGGATGGATGGATGGATGGGTGTGTGGGTGGATGGAGGATGGATGGATGGATGGATGTGTGGGTAGATGGAGGATGGATGGATGGATGGAGGATGGATGATGGTTGGAGGGATGGATGGATGTGTGGGTGGATGGAGGGATGGATGGATGGATGGAGGATGGGTGATGGATGGATGGATGGATGGATGTGTGGGTGGATGGAGGATGGATGGATGGATGGATGGGTGGATGGAGGATGGGTGGATGGAGGATGGATGGATGGGTGGGTGGATGGATGGATGGATGGATGGATGAGTGGATGGATGGATGGATGGATGGGTGGATATAGAGACAGATATCCCACCGGTGCAGTTTCTCTGGAGCATCCTGACCAATACAGGGTCCAAAGTCAGTGAACCTGCTACAGGTGGCAGGCTGGTCTCCCATGAAGCTACTGCATTGCAGTGCAGAGTTGGACACTGCTGTAACAAATGGAGCATCCGGCTGTAGGGGTGTCCAGGTGAGGCTCGGCAGCTGGACCACAGGCGGCTCCCCCTCCTACCCTCTGTCTGCTTTTCACTAGGCCACCGGGCAGTGCGGGGGTGGCTGGGGGAAGAGGCTGCCTGCCCGCCACGGGGTTCCAAGAACCTTACAACAGTCCAGACACCCAACCTCACTGGGCGATGCGGAGCTGCTGGGCCTGCCCAGCTACGCGACCCAGTGGACAGATGACAGCCACTTCAGGATGGGCGGTTCGGGTCACCCTGCTGTCCCACGGACAGGGGTCAGCTTCTCCCCTGGCCCACAGGGAAGCCAAATGCTGAGTCGCAGAGGAAGGCGAGGTCCTTGCAAAGAGTGTGGCTGCGTGTCCGTGTGGGAATGGCGCTGAGATTCCCCATCTCAGCTTCCACAGTAGCCGCTGGGGCCATGGGGTCCCCGGGTCACAAGGACCAAGCTGTGTGGCCACCAGGGCACCTCCGCTGCTCTGCACCTCGCTCAAAGCCAGCAGCCCAGCACACCGCCTGGGTGCCGGTGAAAGCAAAGCCGATGCCCAGACGTGGCTTCCTCCACCTGTGCACAGGTGGCCAAGGCTGCAGAGGGGACACTCTTGTGTCCACTGGACCCAGCGAGGACTTGTGTTTTCTCAGGGTTTACTCTCACTCTGCCGGGTGCAGTTTTCACCGAAGTGACCAGACATTTCTCCTCCAGATCTCATCAGCACAGGATCTCGGGGGTGGGGGGGACACATGGTCAAGGTCCCTGTGGATTCAGCTGTGGCTGAGACCCCGAGTGCCCGTGTGGTCCCGAGGCAAGACCGCAGTCCTGCCCTTCCAGGTGCAAGCAAACGGCCTCTGGTTCTCTGCACCTCTGGACAAACCTAAAAATGCAAAAACAAAACGAGGGATTCACTGGCCGAGCAGCCTCATGCCGGGGGGCGGCCCCTTGCATCGATTTGCACCGGTTAAGAACACCTGAAGCTACGGCTGCGCTTATGTCACCACCTGATTTCAAGATCCCCCCCACCCCCGACCCCGCCCCCGATGGGGCACAGCTCACAATCCGACGACCTGATGCAGGGTTCCGTCCAGAGGCGGGGGCGCCGAATCACTGCGCATGCGCGGGCCCACCTTCAGGAACATCGCCCAGCGGTCCTCTGACTGCTCGCTCCAATGTCAGTGCTCGCAGCAGCGCACACGTGCTCTTGCCCACAAACTTAAAACTTCTGTCCTTCTAGTAGGTGTTAAGCGGTATCACATTATGGCTCTAATCTCCTATTCCTGTTTCCTGTTTTCATGATCATTGGCCATTTCTGTTTTGTATTCTGCCAAATGTCTGTTCATGTCTTTTGCCCATTTTTTTAAATTGGATCCTATGTCTCTTTCTTCTGGTGCATAGGGAAGCTGTTTTGTATTACTGGGTAGAAATCATGTGTTACTTATATGTATTGTAAACATTGTCTCATATCTGTGACTGACTTTCACTTTCTTTATAGTGACTTCTGTGAACAAATGTTCTTTGTTTTTTACCTTTTAATGAAAAGCTTTAATACAGAAAATAAGTAGAGAGAGTAATGCAATGAACACACATATATCCACTGGGACAGCTCATTTTATGTGTCAACTCAGCAGGGCCTTGGTGTCCAGCTGTTTGATCCAACCAACAGCTGGCTGTTGCCCTAAAGGTGTTTTTAGATGAAATTAACATTTAAATCAGAAGACCTGGAGTAAAGCAGGTCACCTGCCATCGAGTGGATGGGCCTCGTCCAATCAATCAAAGGCCTTAAGAGCAAAGACTGAGGTTTCCCAGGAAAGAAGGATTTCAACCTC